TCTTCATGTTATTTAAAAATTGTGAAACTGATTTTACTATGATGCAGTATCAAAAAGTGGGCCTATAGATTGAAAAAATATTGAATAGAAATACCTGCTTCACTTCTGCTAATTCAGACTTCATAAATTCATTACTTTGAGCCAGTTCCGGATAACTAAATAAAAGAAGTAGCGATTCAAGAGATCGAAAATCATAGAACGTAAGCATTTGCAGTCTTCCCATTCCAGCGGCGTATCCAAGGAGGAGGGGGAGAGTGGCAAATGGGTAATTGCCCATTTCATTTGGAGATTTGCCCATTGTAATTTTTATTACTATCGGAATTTTTAAAGAAAAGCTTATAACTTTTGAATGGAAAGTCATAGCAACCTGCGATTTTCAGGGTTCAATAGACGACAGTTGGGGGCACACGCCAACGTGGAAAAGTGATCTTACTAGGTACTTTTTCAGACCAGATTTAGCCTACGAAATTAAGGACAAATTAGCGAAGTGTTTAGAGAGAATTTTTTTCCCAGGGTTTGCACCCCGACATGCCCTCTTCGGATTGGTATCTAAGCAATTTCTAGATTTCGCTTCCTTGAAAGACCCGAGGCCTTTTAAGGAAGAAACTTCATGCAGTACATTTTTCGCTGAAAAGCAAAAAAATACTCCGAATATAGGTTTTCGATTATGCTAATCAACATGAAAGAGTTTATTTTCTTTAAAATGAAAGACCCGAGGCCTTTTAAGGAAGCGAAATCTAGAAATTGCTTAGATACCAATGTGAAGAGGGCATGTCGGGGTGCAAACCCTGCGAAAAAAATTACAATGGGCAAATCTCCAAATGAAATAGGCAATTGCCCATTTGCCACTCTCCCCCTCCTCCTTGGATACGCCGCTGGAACGGCGTATCCAATGGGTACGCGCGCAGTAGTAAGTTTTTGGCCATTGAAATTCTTTTTGGATAGACAGAATTATTTGTTTATTTTTGAATTAGATGGTAAATGTATTTTTTTTCTTCCGTCTGAATGCGACATACACTCTTTGCTGCTTCTTTCTGTGCAGAATAAGAAAAAGTAGAAGAAAAGAATCGCTCTTGTATTTTAACTTATGCATGTTTTTTTCCTTGCTCGTCCATGTGTATGTGTCTACTATTATAATACGGTCGGTCTACTATCTTCTCATTTCCGAACCGAATTGACAATAATAAGCTATATACTAAGCTATGTCGAATGAAAAGCGACCCAATACGTTATTAAACTAAAGTTTTTCTTCCAAAAAGATACGTACTGGTACTAAAAATTTAACACCAGATTCAAATACACCTGCAGCTACTACAATTACAGCTACAACGACTAATGATGATTCCAGTTTGTTTTTATCCATTGATCCTGAAGGTTTAGATCAGTTGAGTGACAAAGTTAATTTCGGCGTCGAAAGTAATGAATTGAAAATGATTAATTCTCTACCCGACACCAATACAAATGATATCGCTTATCATGTATCATATAAACTGTCAATTGATGATCATATAAAATATTCTCTATTAACAAATCATTTTAAACCCGATGAAAAATATTCATTTCCAACGCTATATTCGGATGATCATAAACATTCCCGTCGATTCATGATCAATTGGTTAATCGATAATTCATTTCTTATTTATTCACCGTATATTGAAGCTAGTTATTGCATAAATTGTGTATTATTTCGTAACGTACAAGGGCAAAAATTAGAATTATTTGACGATAAACCTTGTCACCGATACGAACATTTGAAACATTTCACTACATCATTGAAAACTCATATGAATTCATAATTTAAG